CTTCTCTTGCCTTTCTCTTCAATTAACCATGGATAACTCAAGCTCTCTCTCTCTCTCTCTCTCTCTCTCTCTCTCTAAATGGTGGTCGGCCATAAGGTTAGGCAGCCGTCTCGGTGCAAAAGGGCAAGTCATTCGTATTCCTATAACTCGCTTCAAGCCCATATTCTTATTTGTATAAGGTAAATGAGAAATATGACTCGTCATGCTAGTGTAGTAGGCCATAATATCGAGAATTGTATGGCTTTTAAGAGAAGGATAAGATCTCTTTAGATGGAACTCCAAGTGTGTTGAATGTTTAGAGAACTCCACTATTGAGTCATAGAGTCGCCAACACAAGAGATGGAGAGACCGAGCGAGCTCAAAAGATATCGTAAGGATGCATGCTCATTAATTTTATGCATGAATTAAGATGTATCTTTGAATGAAAGAATACTTTTTTTTTTGTAATTTTATATTGTCCGATCTAAAACCAGGAGATGTTCATTTGAAAACATTATTTGGCATTGCATCTTCTCCTATTAGGAAAATATAATGAAAAATTCATTTAAAAACATTTAAAAGGTTGATCAAATTTTAAAGTATGACAAATAGATGCTAGAAACAATTCTTCAATTCATTGAACCCAAATATACATCCTCATACTAACTTTTTTGAGCAAAAAGTAATAAAGGTAATCCTCAATTTATTGAAACAAAAAAATTAAAAAAATATATTTTTCAAAATATACTCTCGAAGCAAATTTTTGCTTAGAAAATTCTCATGAAACCCAAAGGTGAAAGACTAAATGATTAGTCTTAAAAAATCATGAACCTTACATCTTCAAGTCATGATCTCAAATTACATACATCACTTCTTCTTTTTGGTTAACCTAAAAGTTTTTACATTATCTTTCAAAAGAGATTAGTGTTTATTAGCATAGGTAAATTATCTTTTGAGATGAAGAATGATCATCTTCCATATATCTCATAAAATTTTATCATTTGTTATCCAACTTTGAGCCTTGATGATTTGTTTCGTGATAACGTATACTAGGATCACCCCTCATACTAGAAAGAAGAATATGAAGTCCATGAAGGGTTGATGAAACTCTCAAAAAAATTTTGTCAAAAGAACCATATCAATGGGAAAAAAAATCTATAATACAAAAAATTATAAGTCAAGATATGATTCGGAATTCGGATAAACAAATAAGAGAGTTGAGGCTATGAGACAACGTCAACAGATCAAAATGAAAAATTCACAACCACAAGCCTAAAAGAAAAATTTTCATGAACAAAAAAATCACACAAATCCTAACTAAAGGCTAAAGTGATAAAGTCTAACCGAGTGTTACCTAAAGAGACTTCTATGGACAACTAAATGATCCTATGTTATAAGACCCTTAAACACATTTTAAGCCTTTATATATCCATTTCTTCATAAGCCCAAACCAAAAGCTACATTACATGTTTTTACAAGCCTTTTTCGATCAAAAGCGGTTTGCTTATATTATTGGATTTTAATCTCAAAAGAAAAAAAAGTGATTGAGAAAAATAAGAAAACATGACCGATCGAGTGCTCGTTTGTCATTCTTTATGACATCAAATCATGAGTTTTCTTCAATTTACTTGGGAGAAAAATAAACATAATCAAGATTCTCGAGTAAAATTATCATTAAAACCAGATTTGTTTTTGAAATACTTTCTACTCATTCTTTTTCGTTGACTAAAGTAGCCTTATCATTTGACTAGTCACCTATAATAACATTAACAAGCCAATTTTTTAGATAAATCTTACATGATCCAAACTCATTTGTCAACTTTACCCAAGCAACCTTTTTGAAAAAATTGAGTCATAACATTTGAATGTAATATTTTGACTTTTGATTAATCAATTTAAACACCTTCTCGAATGAAAGTATTTTCTTTATAACATCTCTATATTTCTTTCAAATAATCTAAATTTTTTTAAGAGAGTCATTCAAGTGTATAGCTTTATCCATAAAAACCAAATGTCTTTTTTTTTTCAAAAGATGATGATAATTTCAAGGCTAGTTTGCAAATTGTGATGCAAACATCAAAAGATAAGCATTTAAACAAATGCAATGACTCGTTGAGAGAGCTCGCAAATGTATGATCTCAACTAGTACTTAGGGGCATCTCATGGCCCTATCCGAATGGTAATCCACAAAACTAAAAACGAGTTGGTGGCAAGGCCAATAGTCTAGCCACTTGGATTAAAATTTGATAATTGGTCAAATAATGACACCATAAAGTCAATTGATGTGATAAGGTTCCAAGCGACAAGCACTCGAAACATTAATCAAAACATTCGAAGTAGCTACATTAGGGGGTAGTATAGCTATCTCAAGCAAAGCAAAAGCCAATGATGCAATACGGTTCGATTCGGCTTCGATTGATGAAAGAAAAGTTGATCTTTGAAACCGTAGCCTATGTTTCACATAGGTTAAAAACTAACCATTGTAATTAGTTTCATTGATATATTATAGAGAAAAAAATCACCCAAAGCGATTCATAAATCTTTTTTTATCGGATAACTTGTTAAAGGTTTGTCTCTCTAATCTTATTTTTAAAAAGAATAACATCACCCAAAGTGGTTCGTATATCTTTTTTGATCGAATCGATTGTTAAAGGTTTATCTCTCTGATCTCATTTTAAAAAAAAAAAAAACATCACCAAAATAGTTCATATATCTTTTTTCATCAAATCACTTGTTAAAGGTTTGTCTCTTTGATCTCATTTTTAAAAAAAGAAAAACATCACCCAAAGTGGTTTGTATATCTTTTTCAATCGGATCACATGTTAAAAGTTTGTCTCTCCAATCTCATTTTTTTAAAAGAAAAACATCACCCGAAGCGGTACATATATCTTTTTCGATCGGATCACCTATTAAAGGTTCATCTCTTAGATCTCATTTTAAAAAAATGAAAAACATCACCTAAAATGGTTTATATATCTTTTTTTATTGGATTACCTATTAAAGGTTCATCTCTCCGATCTCGTTTTAAAAAAAAGAAACACGTCACCTAAAGCGATTCGTATATCTTTTTCAATACGATCATTTGTTAAAGATTCATCTCTCCAATCTCACTTTTAAAAAAAAGAAAAACATCACCTAAAATGGTTGGTATATGTTTTTTCGATTGGATCGTATGTTACGAGTTTGTCTCTCTAATCTTGTTTCTTTTTAAAAGAAAAAGATCATCTAAAGTCGTTCGTATACTTTTTTTCAATTGGATCACCTATCAAAGGTTTGTCTCTTTGATCTTATTTTTTTTAAAAAAGAAGAACATCATCCAAAGTGGTTCGTATATCTTTTTTGATCGAATCATTTGCCAAAGATTCGTCTCTCTAATCTCTCCTTTTTTTTTAGAGAAAAAAAAATCACCAAAGCTATTCGTATATCTTTTTTCGATTGAATCACCTATTAAAGATTTATCTATTTGATCTTATTTCTTTTTAAAAGAAAAACATCACCCAAAGTCGTTCATATATTTTTTTTCAATCGGATCACTTATTAAAGGTTAGTCTCTCTAACATAATTTTTTTAAAAAAGAAAAACATCGCTTAAAGCAATGTGTACATCTTTTTTTTTATTGGATCACTCGTTAAAGGTTCATTTCCACGATCTTTTTTTTTCTAAATCGCATATTTAATTTTTAGGGAAGGTCGTCATTCAATTTGGCTAAACATTGCATATTTAATTTTCTTAGGTAGGCCACCTTATTCTACATAGTGATGTACTACATATTTAATTTTCGGGATAGGCCACCCTCCAATTTAGCTATATACTTGCATGTTTACTTTTCCAAGACAGATCGTCTTAATAAACTTAGCCATGTAGTTCATAGTTACTTTTTCAAGGTTCGTCATCTTAATGAACTTGGCCATATACTACGTACTTATTTATTTAAGGCGAGTCACTTTAATCAACTTGGTCACATATTATATATTTAATTTTTCAAGGCGAGATCGCCCTTCAATATGATCATGTACTCGCATATTTAAATTTTTAGCGTAGGCCACATTTCATAACAAAATAATCCCATCATAGTTTTACTTTCATTTTCAATCAATCAAAATAACTGGATCAATCTCTAAAAGAAAAACTTCTTCTTTACAAGCTTATAATGCAAAGTCATTAAAAAACATTTTTTTCATTTGACTTTCATTGACTTTATGCCATAAGCATTGTAAAAAAGGGATAACTATCGTAACCAAAATTTTAGGTTATATTTTATCTATAATTTAATTATTTAGTTTGATAAAAGATTATTATTATTGGAGTGTAATTTAAAAAAAAGGAAAAACAAAAGAAAACAAATAAATAGGGAAACATAAACTAAAATCGAAAGCCGATAGCGACCTAATTCCATTAAATTACGAATTGGAAGTTAATAAGAGTTAAATTAAAAACAAATCAAGATAAAATGGTGGCCTAATTGAAAGAAAATTGAGAATGCAACTATAATTTAAAAAGTGTGGGGGTTGTTCTTTAATTTGGTGAATAATTCACTATTTCATTCAAATTTTTATAGAAATTTAAAAACCGAAATGGTTTTCGAATTCAAGTTTGTTGCATCCATGATTTGATTCCTTGCCAGCATATGATCCCTTTTATTGAACTATAATCCACACAACAATAATTGAAGAAATTAGTTAGTTTTAGGTTACAAATAGAATGCTTCAAAGGCGAGCAGAAAGGGGTGAAGAATTCAGGCGAGATGAAAGGGAGCAAAAACTAAGAAAAAGATTAAAATTCAAGGGATTTTTTGGAGTTTTTTGTTCTTGCATTTTTTGGAAAATTTTTGGTCAAGGGTTGGTGTTCATCATATTTTTTTGTTCATGTTCTTCATTTTCCGAGACACTTAAAAAGGTTTTTTTTTTTTTTTTTTTTTTTTTGATTAGGATTTTGGTTGTTTGGGTGGAGAGAAGGATAAATCGAGAGTGAAGGGTTTAAAAAAAATGAGATTTTAGCATTTGGGGTTCCCGGGTTGCATTTTACGAACAGTTTTTCTTGGTGTTCTTCATTTTGGCTTTGTGTTCATCTTCACTATTTCTACTAGGTATTAATTCTTGGATTCTAGACATGATCCAAGTGTTCCACACTAATTAAAAACATTTTTTTCATTTATAAATCATCCCGAATCTCATTTGTCCTCAATTCAGGTCCACAAACCAAGTAATCAATATCTTTAGGTCAATTTTAGTTCTTCGAGTTTTCTATTTTCAATTCCCTTAATTTTTTTTCATTAACTCATCTTGTTAATTAGATCTTAGATTTTAGTTTTGATTGGTGAAGTGAACTTAGTCAGCTAGTCTTTGGTTAAAAAAATGAGTTTAATTATTATGAAGAACATAAGGAATAGAGAGAGAAAATGAAGAATAATGAAGACGAGAGAGAGAGAGAGAGAGAGAGAGAGAGAGAGAGAGTTAGGTGTTTTGTTTAATCTAAAAAAGGAAAAGAAAATTTTTGAGCCTTATTTGTGGATTTAGTCTAGCCCATGTAAAAAAGAAATGGGTTGGGCTAAGCCCAACCCACATGCAGCTAGCCAACCTTAAGTTGAAAAAAAAAATGAGGCGAAGCTAGTTTCGATCCAACTTTTTCCATAAAAAAAACATATAATAAAAAAGAAAAAAATCAATACAAGAAACTAGAATTAGTCCAATTAGATATAAAGAAAAGGAAAAAAGAAAAGAAAAAGAAAAGAAGGATATATGGTAAATCCAATGGACCTAGCCCAAAAGGCCTATGGTCCAATAAGATTTTTTATTTTTATATGTTTTGATTTTTTTTTAAGATAACTTGAATGAGAATATTTTTGTTTCTCCATGTATTTTTATTTTCTACATTAATTTAAATTTAATTTTTTAGATGTTTTGAAATTTATTTAATTAACTTTAAATTTTAGAATTATTATAGTAACTAGGTTAGAAAATTACTTGATTAAATATAATTACCCACTATGTAAAAGTAAAATGATGCTTGGCTTTACTAAACCGATGCATGTATAAAGAGAAGGCAACTCCACTCGCCGATAGGTTAGCGAGATCACGCTTATGTTCATGGAAACCAGGAAACATATCACTCTTTTGATACACTACCTGTTTCAATTAGTGTGGCTTTTAAAGAAGACTTTTTGTGGTTTAGCTAGGCTCAAGAGATAGTTCTATTTATTTGGTTAAACCTTTTCCCTAAACTTTAATAGGTCACTATTTGATTTATGTTTTTTACTTAGTTTTATGGATTTTTCCTGTACTAGTTCGGGGGTTTAGGCTACCTTAATCTCCCAATATATTAGGATAGGCGGGTTTATCCCCCTTTGTACCTTTTCACGTTTCATTTATGATATTTCAAGGTACTCGTCCTTGTTCCTAAAAGGATTACTTGATAAATGGTTTGTCGAGTCTCCTACTTTTTAGGGTGTGATGACAATTTTTTATGAACAAATAATAAATAAAAATAACAAAAAAATAATAAAAAAATAAAAAATTTTAACGAAGTCTCATATCCGATAGGAATCTGTCATTGCAAAAAAATAATAAAAATTCTTAACAAAGTCTCTTATCTATAGGGACTATGGTTAGTCAAAATAAAAAAATCAATATTTAATAATCAAGATTTTCTCCGACACATCGATGGTTTCAAGACTTAAAGTAGATCCAATGATTGAACTAACATGTTGTCAACGAAAGGGATCAATGATCGTTTCAATATTATCCACGTGCAAAAATAAAAAACTTAATTTGGCTTGAAAAATTAGAGTTTAATTCAGAAATAAGTTGGCACAAAATAAAATATATTTAGAGATGAATTTAGAACCAAACTAGACATGGTACCTTAGGAAAAACATCTTTGGGTGATTCATATCTTCACGAAGTGTAACCAACTCTTTATCCAAGAATCTCTACACCGAGTGCTTATTTTTAGGTTCCTAATTCCTTTAAGACTAGGTGATGAGTCTAAATTCATGAATAACTTGTACCCCTAGAATAACCTACAAACGAGATGCAAATCTCTAAAATCCTAGAATTTTTAGAGAGTACCATCTAACGTTGGGTAATGACATCATGTTGTTCATGTTAGGACTATATTGAATCCAATATTAAATTAATACGAATCTAGATTTTATAGTCCGATGGTAATTTATCATGACTTTACAATAAAAAATAAATCCATTAATGTGTTCTAAAAAGAACATGAAAAACATTTTTTTTAGGAAAAAAGGACGAGCACCTTAGTAAGTATATTAAAAAAATAACATGGAAAGATATAAAGGAGGGATAATCTAGCCCCGCCTAACATGTTGGGAGGATAAGAAAACCAAAATCCTTGGATTTTACATGAGAGTTCCTGTAAAGATAATCACATAAAATGTTATGAAAACAATTCCTACTTGGACCTATAATAAGTTCATGCTGAAAATATGCTATCATCAATAATTGTAGAAGTCAAATTTATCATCGGACATGGTAGCTCTGCAAGGAGGAGGCAATGATTCGAGTATTGCTAACTATCTTGTAAGAAGAATGCTGATAAGCTAAATCAGCTAGTCGCTCGACGACCATATTACCTTCTCTATACATGTGTAAAATAATAGTGTATGGTAAAATAAGCCCTCTACATTCTTACATTATATATGGTAACTGCAAAGGGCAAGAAATATCAAAAGACAAATAACCTATCACCGAGTGTGGAGTCCGCCTCTACTATATCTATTGGTAGACCTAAATCCTGGCAAATTTTAAGGCCATCTAATAATGCCAATGCTTCCCGTCTAGTCTTGGTCCCATAGCCATAACATTTAGAGTAGGCTATCAACGGGTTACCTATGTCATCGCTTAAGATTCCTCCCTCATGGAAAATGTTATTTCTTGACCGAACCATCCGAATTCAACTTATACTTTCCTTCTAGTGGGTAATTCCACGTAATCCACCTATCCTTGCACATTCATGTTTGCTTAATCCACAACCCTGTGGCCGAAATACATAGCTTGTCATGAAAACTTAAGCTTGCGAGATGGTTGAAACAATGATGATAATTCATAGATCCATTTATCGATCTTGGTTTTAATGGCTTGCCCATTCAAAACTTCACTTTTAAAAAGTGTCTTATTCCCGGTAATCCATAACTCCCACGGACTATAATTAAACATAATCATATATATATATATATATATATATATATATATATATATATATATATATATATATATATATATATATATATATATATATATATAATGCTTCTAGGTATGAGGCATACCATTTTTTCAGCCACCTCAAAGCAAGTTGATTAAAATCATTTAATCCTCGCTGCGATATCTAGCATATCTCTAAACCGATTCCACATTTCCTTAGCAACATCTCCTTGCATGAATAAATGCTCAAAAGTTTCTCCCTTTGATATTTTATAGCATTGGCACTTGGAGGCCAAAGAAATATGACAAGCCATGATATTATGTTCCACCACTAAGGAATTATGAAAAAATTTCCATACAAATATTCCAATCTTTCGGGGAATCCACTGATTCCAAAGGCTTCGCCACTATTCAAACTTTGGAGCCTTAACTCTCCTTTCCTCATGGTAAGCTTTGGTTATAAACTAACTCGACTTTGTCCCCGTATATACCGAACTTATCTATTACATTGTCATATAAATAGATGGTGTTCAATTCAGCTTGTATCACGAGTGGCAAGTATAAGTATTTGAGCATGTTTTGCTTAGCTTAGATGTCGTGATGCTCAAATCTCCCACAAGCTGAGGGAAATCTATAAAAGACCATTTATCTTTCCATACATTGATATTTCTAGTACTCGCCATCTAGATTGGTCTAAAAAATATAAGATATGTGGATATAATGTTTTCCATGCAACATAACCCTTCTAAACTTTGAGACGATTAAAATGAGAAGGCTCCCCATATTTCATTCTCATAGAGGAATTCCATAAGGATGAACTTGTTAGGAAAGACTAAGCCAACTTCCCTTTCATTGTATTTATCACCTCATGTAGATTTCTTATTCTCAACCTCGCCCTCCCAAATAGGGAGCAAAATTGTTTTCCAATTAATCCAAGCGATGCCTATTTCCTTCCCTACTATTCCAAAGGAAGTTGAAAATATGATGTTGTATTCTAGAAATCACTATCTTTGGGATTGGAAGCACCCCCATGGTATATATAGGCATGAAGGAGATAACACTTTGAATTAGAGTTAACTTCCCGCTAGCCGAGAGAAGTCCGCCCTTCCTTCCTGCTACCCTATCTTTTATTTTTTATTCTAGGTTTGCAAAATAATCCACCCGAGGACTTTTTTTAAATAGTGGGACTCTAAGATATGTCATAATTTTAGTAGCCATTGTGAATCCAGTTCAAATGGAAAGTAATATTTTTCTATTAGGAGTCGACTTGGTATTACATAGGTAAGAACTCTTTCTAGAATTTACAATATGTCTACCGGTAGTTGAGTGGACATTGATTAGTGATAATAGTTTTTCTATATTTCTCTTCTCCCTATTGCTAAATATCGGTATGTTATCCATAAACATCAAGTGTGAGATGATCCTATTATTCCCTTCACTATACTAAAGCTTGATAGTCCCTGCTATTATCAATGCATTTAAGTGTCCGAAGAACACATCCCGGGCTAATATGAAGAGTGCTAGAGATAAAGAGTCACCCTGTCTCACTCCGTGGCCTCGAGTTAAAGAAACCATAGTATGTTGCATTGAAGATAATGGAGTACTAGCGAGTTTGAAACACACTTAGGAACCATAGTCCTCCATCTACTAGAGAAACTAAATCTCTCTAAAACATGAAAAAGAAATGCCCTTTCTAACTTGTCATAAGCCTTCGACATGTCCACCTTCGATATGATATTTCCTTCATGTATCTTTCTATTTATATAATTAAAAAGCTTTTAGGCCAAAGCCACATTTTCATGAATTAGTCTTCCTTTGAAAAATTTAGATTGCTCTTTAGAAATTATAGATGGTAACACTACACTCAGCTTATTTGATATTATTCGAGAAAGAATTTCATATGAGAAATTACGAGACCGATTAGATGTAGCTCTTCAAACTTGGATGGATTTGTGCATTTTAGGATGAGCACCAAGTTAATTATAGTTGTTGCTTTCGAAATTGTTAGTGTAGGTCTCCAAGATCCAACCATATTTAGGAGCCTATTGAGTTACACGCATAAGTTTAAGTATTCACATTATAAATGAGAAGCAAAAATATTAGAAAAATTTTTCAATTATGAAAGTTTCTTATTTTAGAAAGGGTTTTCGAAAAGAAAAATTTCCTTAAATATGAAGTTTCTTAAAATGAAAAGTTTCCTTAATTAAGAAGTTTGTTAAAATAGAAATTTTCTTATTTTAGAAATTAGTTTCCTACTTTGGAAGTTAGTTCCAAATTTGGAAGTAAACAACCTTAAATAGAAATGAGTTTCCTAATTTAGGTTAAAAGGTATTTTGGAAAATTATTTCCTAGTATGGACCCACCTAAAATAATCTAAGACTATTTATTTAGATGGTCCAAATAAATTAATTGAGCTAAAATGGTTTTGACCCATTCGGTTTAATTAAAAGCCTTAAGATATTTTGATAGGAGGATAAAACATCAACCTTATTGGATAGGGATGGATGTTTTGAAGATAATGATCAAAAGTTGACTTATAGAAATAACTCCCGATCCTTTGAGGATAAGGAAGCAATAACCTAAACTAACTAGGGCATACGACAAAGTAAAGAAAAAGAGAAAATAGTTTTTTCCAAAAACCCTAGTAGAAATATACTCTTTCCTTTGTTTTAAGATTATCATAAAATTGTTTGGGATTGATTTTAAAGGAAGCACTACACAAATAAGAAAAAGGTAAAGCTAGCACCCTACTATATTTGAGTGCTTCTTTGTGGATAATTGGACTACGTAGATCATCAATAGAGATCGAACAATTGGATATCTTTTATGATAAAAAGAATTTGGATCTACACTACAAGAGATAATCTTTATTTCATTACCTTAAATTCATGTATGCATAGTTAATAGATTCAACAACTTAATCTTGGGGGCCTTAGATAGAGGAAAATTTTTGTTTATTCCACACCTCCATAGGATGCATGATCCTTCGAAATTTCACCCCTCTAAATATGTCTCAAAAACTAAAATATGAAGAACAATTTTTCAAATTAATTCCTAATTCATACTAACTCGACTTAACGAGTAAACTTGTAGACTTAGAAATATTTTGAAAAATAATATTTTTTAGGAAATGACTTATGAATAGAAAAAAATTAGATAAAATTTTTTAGGAAAAAGTGTTTTTAGACAATTTTTATATTTAGATAAACATGATCAACTATTTACTATGATCTTGCAAGATCAATTATTTAAGTTGTCTAATTTTTTTAAAAACATTTGGTGATGATGCTTTAAAAAAAATGTTTTTTAGTTAGAAAACATGTTTATTAGGTAGGGATAATTCACACATTACTAGTATTTTCACGAGCGATATCCATAATAAGGAAAAAAAACAAATAGCTATGCTACACCTCAAATTCTTGGTCTATGTGTGTCATAGTGTTCGTAGTGTCAATAATAAATTACCAAATGATTGTGGTCGGCGTGCTATAATCACGGATTAAAAGGGATAATGATGAAATCTACACTTGAAAGTAACTAAAGATTACCGACTAATTCTTATGGTTAGAAACCGAGATAATTCAAAAAAAAAAATTGATTATTACTTGATTGATCCGATTGTTGTTACCAATGATCTATTACATATTTATACTAGTAAATAGAATAGCTACCTTCAAACATAAATAAATAGATAAACCTACTTATGACAATTAACTATTTATGTTTATCCAATTTTAACAAGTGAAATTCATTCAATCATCTTTTCCTAGCTATTTGTTCGTCTTACTAAACATTCCTTTACTCTACCGTTTGAAGACGAGACTTAGGTGGTATATGATAAAACTGAAAATTAAGTGTTGAATCCGTTAAGTATTGAATTTTAAGTACCGAATAAGTTCATGACAAGTTGTTTGTTATTTACTGAAAATTAAGTGCTCGAATATAATAAGCTTACTTGAAGAGTACGGTTGCTTGAACATATTAAAGCTATACACATGAAAATTTTAACCTTGTAATTGTAACATGATATTTTATTGATAAACTTGAATAATAGTTATAGTTAATTGCTCAACTTTTTTTAAGCAAAGTCGAGGCTCTCTTGTTGATCTTGTCAAATAGTTTTGAATCATGTTGGATTTTATCGGTATTTATACTGAAAATAGAAGGCAATTTTTGAAAAAGCATAAAAGATAAGTAAAGCTATGTAAGGCAATAGAGAGAGTTTACTAATTTTTTAACTATGTTCAAGTTTGGATTGTGCTTCTATTACGGGAATCGTGTATTTCTAAATCACAAAAACTCATTGCTCTAACTAAATTCCCACATGAAGCCCTTGATGGTTTTGAAGGATATCAATAGAAAATTATATAAAAAGAAAACAATATTGATGATGATGGGATTAGAAAGACACAAATGAATATAAATCAAAATTTAGAAACTAAAACAACTTAATCTATAAAAAGAATCAGTCTTTCTCTAAAAAAAAATACAAAAAAAAAAAAAATCATCAATATATCAATAGACATGAAAGAAAATCACTTGTAATGGAATGAAAGGAAAATTGCTCGTAATAGGATTAGACCTTGGCGTTTCGATTTTGGGATGGAAGTACCAATAATGGAGAAGGATTTCTCTGTTTTAATAATAAGGATAGTAGAGATTGTTTTTCGGTTGGTTTATATAGCTAAAGTTATAAAAATATATAAGGGCACTATAGTCATAGTTGAAAAGTTTTTAAAATCTTTC